CCTATATACAATTATTATTATTAAACTATTATTTAATTAATTATTTAATTCTTTTTCTTTTATAAGATTATTCAATTTTATTTCACAAATTTTAGCTTCCCTTTCTTTTAATGCAAGCTGACGCTCTTTTAAAACCATGACTTTTTCTTGAAATTCAGTATTTCTTTGATCTTGATTATCTTCATTTTGATTATCTTCATTTTGATTATCTTCAATATTAGATTCAATTGTAATAGTTTTTTTAAGTTTTTTCTTACTGGAACTTGTATTTTCATTTTGCTTACATTTAGAAAAAGTTGTTTTTGCTTTTTTGATCAGTTTATTAGCTAATAAATAAATTAAATATAAAATTAATAAAACAAAACATTAGTTTATTTTATTATATAATTTCAAACTTATTTAATAAAAATAATTTATATTGATGTTTATTTGATAAAACTTTTCAAGCTATAGAATCTTGTCTTTTTCACAAAAAGATATATTGTATTTGTTATTATTATTAATGACAATTAATTTTTCTTTGTCTAATTTATACTCCTTAATAAATTAATCATATTTAATTCAATTTGTAATAACTTTAAATTTTAATTAAAAAAAAAATAAATAAAAATATTATAAATATTGTTTGATTACTATTATTAATTTTAGATTTTTTTTATGACAATTACTTAATTATCAGAAAATTTTTTTTATTGAAAACCTTTGAAAGTTAATATTAACATAAGTATTTCGTTGTTTTTTGATATATTATCTTTTGAAGGTCTTTACTAACCTTTAAAAATTATCGATTTTGATATTTTCATGTAATGAAATTTTGCGAATATTATTGTTTTTGTAATAAATTTATATTGATAACCTTTGAAGATTGATAACTTTCAAAGATTATTGATTTTAATATCTTCATGTGTGAAATTTTGCAAATATTATTATTTTCATAGTAATTTTATATCAATAACTTTCGTTTATGTTAGATATTTATAATATATCATTTCGATAGTTATCACTTACATTTATATCATTGCGATTTTCAATTGACATTGCACTGTTAACAATATCTTTTGAAGTTTATTGCAGTAATTTTAATTGACATTGTATTGTTAACAATATCTTTCAAAGTTTATTGCAACAATTTTAATTGACATTATACTGTCAACAATATCCTTCAAAATTTATTGCAACAATTTTAATTGACATTGTATTGTTAACAATGTCTTTTGAAGTTTATTATAACAATTTTAATTGATATTGTACTGTCAACAATATCTTTCAAAGTTTGTTACAGTAATTTTAATTAACATTGCACTGTCAATGATATCCTTCAAAGTTTATTGTAGCAAAATTACATTATTAACAATATCTTGCAAAATTTATCACAACAATTAAATTTAGTATTTATGTTTACTGAATGTAATTATATTATTGTTATAATTTTATTAAATATCATATTAATCCAAAATTTATTAGTATTAATATGTTCCCGAAACTTTTAATGATTTAATATATTATATTTAAAGATTTTCAGAATAACTAGACAATTAATAAATATCTTTCGAAGTTTATATCGTAGCATTTTGATCGATATTGATATCTTTTGAAGTTTATCATATCGTTAATTATTATTTCAAATTTTTTTTGAAGGTTAATTTTTTTTGTTTGTGTAACAAGATCAGTTATCTCATATAACTTATTATTTAACTATGTATTCTTTTGTTTATTTTCAGAATAACTACTTTTACTCTCTCTAAACAATCCATACGAAACTCTTTGAAAAGAAATAAATTTATATCTTCATATTTTTGTTATTGTTATATCAAAATACATCAAATAAAAGGCAATAATTTAAAATATATTTAATAATATTTATTGACTTGCTTTGACTTTATTTTATAACTTAACAAGTAAATAAATATATTTTATACTTTATGATACTAACAACAGCACCAGAATTGAGTACAGCAACTACTGGGTTTCTCCCAATTCGTACGTAACATTTAGCCGCAGTAGTTCGCTTAACTTCATCAGTTTCCACGTGATTGGTCTCCTTTTGCTGTGTAGGTCGTTTGAGAATCTTTGTTAAGTTCCTTTTTTGATCTAGGTATTTCAACAATTGTCCTATTTTAGTGCTGGACTGCATATGGAGGATTTTCTGCAAAATATCGTATGGGGTCAATTGATCAAAAACTGACAGTTGTCGTTTCATTCTAGGCTTCTTTTCACTTTTCGTTTTTAGTGTTATTTTTGGTAAGTCTTCCTGCATAGGTTCATCCTCATAAGGGTCTTGTTCAAAATCGACCAAGATCTCAGGCTGTTGATTATTGATAATGGATGTAGCTTTTTAAGGTACAGGATTCTTTGGTCTGTCTGGTTTGCGTAGAAGGGTAGTTCAGTTATTGAGTTTATTTCGTATAACTTCATAGACTTCACATTCATCGTCACTGTCATTGTCATATTCAACATAACTGACATTTCGTCTATTTTGATTTTGGGGATATGTTTTCTTTTCAACTAGACAGTCACGAGCAAAATGTCCAACCTCGTTACAATTAT